GGGGGGGTTGGTATCGTACCGTGTGAGCTCGACGACGACAGGTAGGGGGGTGGGTTAGATACAGTAGCGTATGGACCTGGACAGATATCCCCAGTGTTGATGGCTCGAGTGAGGATGTTGAGGATATGGAGAAATATAATCTCAGAAATCATGAGCTACAGATAGCGTGGGAGCCAAGCAGCAAGCCACTGGCCAAAAATCCAAGAGGGATAAATTGCGGAAAGGTAGAAGAAACCCGAGAGGAACTAGCAACCTTGATGGGATCGGTGTTCAGTTGGTTGCTAGAGTTCCAGTGCTAAACCACATTTACCTGAAGTCCACCCTGTCCTTTTGAAAAAGGGCTGTCGAGTGCTTGAGTGGTGCCGGTGCTTTGCGGCAGAGAACGAGGGCTTCCAGGTTGTCTTGTCCGAGCCTGCTCCCCATGTCCAGATTGGACGGGAGCGAGAGGGACTCATCGGGGACGGGCTCGACATGGGCAGAGACAGAGAGAGAAATGACGGATATGGACAGGGGCATGGGGCCATTGTGAAGAACAAAAAAAAAAAAAAAAAGGTCATCCATACCATGCCGAATCCAGACTATCATCGACAAGGGCGACAAGGGCCGATGGAGAGTGCCAACCGTAACCTCATCAACCGGAAGCTTGTAGAGAGTGGTCCATCGATGGACACCATACCTCTACCTACCAATACCACCAGCAAGACACACCGTGGGCCTGGCTTTACCCTATCGTGAGCAGCCCTGGAAGCCCTGGAAGCCCTGGAGATGATCGTTGAAGGCGGGTTTCAGAATAATAACGGCAATGATAACAAGTTGCCTTTTCGAGCACACATGACGAATGGGAGTCGACAACCATGAGCCGTGAAATTCCCGCTAGTCCCTCTGCCGAGCTTAGTGTAGGTAGTGGAGTAGGCAGCGCTTGTGTTGAAACTGACTTGTAGACCTGGACGTCCGTGACGCTTCAATGGGGACGGAAGCAACTGAAAGACGAATTTCTGGAGGTATCCAGTACCAGCTGCCGGCCTCGACCATTTGACAGGAGACGAAGTGGGAGACAAGCTAACCTCGACGGGGATGGCGGGAACTGCCCGGATGAGAAGGCGGCCGGGCGCCAGAAGCTGCTGCAGTGAAGCAAAGCAGAAGAAGAACGAGGCCAAACAACGGGACGATCCAATGTCTTACGGTTGAGCATGAGCTATTCCTCAAAAGACTGAGACACGGCGGTGGCCGAGTGGAAAGGAAAGGGCCGCGTGCTAGGAAAATTGCAAGTGGAAGGCACCACCAACCACGGTCCACCAGAGCAATCCTCATGATCATTGTACCAGGTACTTTCAAACGTCTGTTATAGGCAGTCGCATGGCAGCAACGGGCAATTCGCAAGTCAGTAGCATGGGGTGGCCGGTCAAGGTACTCGGTACCACCACACCCATTGTCACACTGGCTCGTTCCTTAATTGTATGTAGGTAGAGAACCTAATGTATGCATGTTTCTTCCAGACCGGCATGGAAGCAACTGACAACCTCAGGAACGGGCGGAAACATGATGAATTCTGGACCAAAAGAAATTCAGAGACATTCGATGCTTTCCTTGACAGGCTGACCGTCGACCACAATGGCTCCGTCCAGTGGCTCTCAATGGCTCCAAATGGGTTCCCCGCTAAGGGCGCTGAGACAATCCGTTTTGAAGAAGTCAATGACTTTGACTTAGCGTGGAGCAGAACTTGAGAAGATCATTTTTCATACACGTCGTTGTCGTGCTGTCGCAAATCTCACTCGACGGACAAGCGACCTCGTGTGCAGATAGTACCTCCACAATCTCGACTAGTGTACGTAGGTATGCGGGACAAAGTCGCGCTCCAGAGGTGCGAATCAGAGTCGTGAATGAGCCATCTCGACGATGCTTGGCTGATTTTCGGGATCGTGGTGGATGGCGTGTATGGTGTAATTGTCATCTGGTCGATACCACTCGATACCACCAGAGGTAGGTAATCAATCCCATTCCTGGCTGCAGCCCGTGCCTGTTGTGGTAACAAGCGAGTGGTTGTGGAAGCTCGGGTAGGTCCAAAAGTCTGTGTGCCGACTGCGGACTGTACTGCGACCTGCGAGCCGTTCCTGCCTGCATTGGCCTACACTACCTTGCCCTGCTGAGCAAGGATAGACCGTCAGAACAAGAGTGGAGTCTACTGAATGTGGAGCGGGCAGGGTCCGCCGGAGTACACTACATCTGCCACTGCAGCACGCAGGCATGAATACAAGTACCTTTTTCACAGGTACATCATGCCTCCCGGCACAAAGGCGGTCGCTTCAAAGGGCCCGCGTTGGAACCTTGTCAAAGTGAGCAGGAACAGACGGTTGGGGACGACCAAGCTCTCTCATAAGGCGGTTCCTGAACTACACCCAGACGGGACTCCGAGTTCAGGTACAGAAATGTCGACTGCAACATTTCAATCGCATCTCATCTTTCGGTTTCGTCATGGGATCTGCTCCAAGTCTCCCAGACCAAGACCGCCAAAACTCAAATTCTCGACTGATTGACCCGCGACCTCCAGTCTGCAACGTCAAGATCGGAAATGGATTCTTGTCGACTCCACCGTGGCCGGACGGCCGCTAGGCTAGAGACGCCGGGAGATGCTGATCTTGCCCACAAGCATGCTGCTCGTCAGCATCAGCAAGCATTCAGTTTCCAAGTCATTTCGGGATTGAGGCTATCGACAAGGCGAGGGTGCGAACTCGCGGATCTAGGGCCACCTAGGCCACGCTTGCAAGAAATTGCCTACGTGGGTAGTGGAAATGTTGGTATGTTCAGCTGATGGACATGGAGTGAGTGGACGGAACTGGGTCGCACGCCGGAGTTTTTCCTTGTCTTGTCTGCTTGTCTCGTCTACGCGGATGAAACAATGGCATTGTTCAATCCCACGGCAAAGAGCACCGCCCACATCCACACGCCCTGCTCTCTCACTTGGTCCTTTTTTTTTTTTTTTTTTTTTTTTTTTTTTTTTTTTGTTGCTATTGGCTGATTGGGCGGCGGATTTGAGGCTTGCAGGTGGAAAGGGCCTTAATTCCCATCACCAGTACCCGAATGATAATGGAACGGCTGATTGCAGTCCATTTTGACCCTTTTCCCTCATACCTGGGACTGGCTACCGCCCTACCCTTCAGGCTTGTCGTCATCAACGGCTCCTGGGCAAGGCAGTGATACTTACACCACAGCCGGCGACAGATGGATGGACGGCTAGCCGCATAACCCGCATTCCTTCCCATCAAGCAAGAGGATGTTCTTCATGGACCTCACTTTGAAGTTGCTGTTCATGCAAAACAAAAGCAGACGTCAGGAGATTTCAGCTGCGGTAGGGGGTCGTCCCAGCTATAAGTTTAAAAGCAAAGCGTGCATTAGGTTGCTGGGAATAGAACACCCACGCCGCCGAAAACTGCCAAAACCCAATAGCGGCCCATGACCAGGCATTCTATTTCCCATTCGACCCAAATGCTACCACCCGACTGCGCCCAAACTCCTCTTGAGTTATGGAGTCCAGTGCAATGGACTGTCCCCCCTGGCTCCTGAAATCACTCGGGCTGCACAGTCCTCAATAGAGTTGGAAACTGGAGAAAGCGGGAGCTCCCACGCCGCAGCTCGCAGCTTCCCAGCTTCTTTCCCAGCTACACTGCCCTGGGCTGCCAGTCCGGCGGCTTGGCCACCCAGAGTTCTTTCCTTATCTGTCTCTGGATCAAGCCAGCGGCATCGAGCCATCAATTGGATCGTACTATGTACTTGCCAGGTTAGACTGACAGTTGCCCGTCACGGCCCTCAAGCTCACTACCGTTACTACCATACCGTTCAAAGGAGTTGACTGGAAGTCTTTCCGAATTCCTATTCGTCAGGTGCCACTGGCTGCTCCCATATCAATCGCTGATTATCCTACCACTGTAAGCAGAATGATTTCCCCGCAAAGATCTCGACGCCCCTTCTCCAAGTTCGTCTCTATCTCCATCACTCTCCTCCTTACAATCTCAATCGGGTCGATCGTTCTCTTTCTGAACGACGCTATGGATGCTACACCAACTCTCCAGGCATACCACCACCCGATGGCTGGTTTCTTCGGATTCCAGCAGATTACATAGCGCAAGGAGGAAGAAAAAGAAGAGGCCGTTGAAGTTGGAAGAATTGGACCGTCGCCGCTGCGATATTTCGATATTCTGACAGCCGTGAGCCGCCAACTACCAAACTGGGAGGGGAGAGTCGATAATTGATTGTTATTGACAGTTGACAAGGACCCCGAGCTCAAGACTTTAGGCTGGTCAACGGCCAGTCATTGTCAGTCACTACCACCACGGGGAGGAGCATTCCAATATCTTGATCGTGGATAATTAAAAGAAGAAAAAAGAGAGGCCCATGTCATGTGGGACAGGGGTTAATATTTAACATCGAGGTCCAACACGAGCCTACAACCCGCGACTGAACACTCACAAACGATGCCGCGAGATGCGATACCTGATTGCGTCAAGTTCAAGGGCTCAAGCCGCGTCAAGCTCCAAGATACCATGGTCTAATCTCTCCAGCACGACATATGGAAAGGGAGCAATCAAAAAGCGGAAGCCTTCTCCAGCGACGTAACATTCAGCGTTGTTACCGTAGGAAAATCCCGAGGCTTCCGGGGGGTCTCCTCGAGTCCCCCGATCCCTTCACGTCTGTCTATGCCCGTGGTCCATGACTCCATGTGGGTGGGCAGGATGGCAGAATGGCACCGCTCCCACACATCGCTCCGGTTACCAACAAGCGAGGCTGTCGTCGTGGCCGCTCCATGGGTTTGCTACGGACCGCCTTGGCAGTCGCAATCGTCCTCTCTTCTGTTGGCTTTAGCTTTTACCGTTTGTTGCTGTTGGTCGTGCAATTCCATCATCTTTGTGCGGCCGTGTCGAAGGGCCAACAGAGCTCTCGAGACGGTCGTCGAGATGGGAAGTCGTCCAACAATCGCAGAGAATCACATACAGTATGGATTCGTCATTGGGTATACATCCAGCTTCAGCCAGACCCTCCCCTGTCGCCATTGGGCAGAAAAGGTAAGGTCCAAGCGAAGCGTCGACGGCTAACATCCCACTGGTCAGCCGCTCTCAATGCCTGACATCTCCATTCCACAAGGAAAGCTGCCTAGGATATGCTCAAGACGCAGCATCAAGCTTCCTTCCAAAACAGGCCTAGTGCAGAAGATCAGGACGAATGGTGCGCGCCGATTGTCTTCTAAAAAGCCAGAGTCCAGCAGCCCTTCGGCGTGGGAGTCTGGTGAGCGACAGGACCAACGGGTATGATCATTTGGGATCTGACATTGGTGAGAGACTGGAAATTCATAATGTGGCTCCGTACAACGGATGAACCGCCGAGGCCATACGTAATGCGTAGCAGAAAGCCGTCAAGACAGATCAGCAACATCAACCGGGCGTATAGATATGTTCGACGTGATGGGATACATAAGAGGTTCTGTTGCGAAGCCGAAAGGCAGTTTTCAGCCCGCACGCTGTAAAAGAGCCACAATGCCACAGCGGAACCTACAACCGAAGACTTTGCTCGCTTCAGCAGCGACACGGGCCGGCGCAAATCCCTCCCAATTTCTGACGCTGTATTGGCCAGGCCGTTCACACTGCCGCATCCTTCATGGCGCCCGTGATCCTCTCTCCTCGAGCCCAATTGGACCCCACCCCCGTATCTGAGCAGCAAGAGAACTAATTGTATAGTCTCGTCGTTAAGCCTTTACAGCCGTATCTTTGGTCTTGAAAGTGGCAGTATGCCTCTCTTACGCTTTCACAGCAAAGAAAAGCATGGGGAGGCGAACCAAGCATTCACTGGACTCCACGGGAGTTCCGTGTGCTGTAAAAACCTACCCTCGTGTGTAGCAAAAAGCAAAATGCTGCATGTGAGCCTCCTCAAAACAGCCCGCCTTATTGTCAAAGGTTCGGTTCTCCCCCACGCCGTCAATCTGTCCTCGCTGCTCTTTTCAGGGGAAATTTGGGCCAAGCTTCGCCGGGACCTCTGCTTTCGGTTCCCATAGCTCTCTCTGACTATCTACTTGTGTCTCGCGGATGCAAATATGACCCTGGACTGCGAACTTAGCTTCGGCTTTCCTGCTTTTGGGACAGCCGCGTCTAGCGCCTCTCGAGACCCTGGAACTGAACGTCGATCAGAGCGAGTCACGAGTCAATGTGGACAAGAAAGAAAAGGACGACTTTCCCAGATTTGAAGCGCCATTATCGCGTGGATAAGGCAGTGTTTTCTGCGGGGTCTCGGCGACCCCTTCAAGAACCATACGTACCTCGGCGGCAAGAGGAGCATTCTGAAAGGTCGGAGAGGGGTGGGCGTGGTCAGCAGCATCGCATATTTTTTTCACTCCTCCGCATACATTCGGTCGTTGTTGAAATGGCTCTCAAGAGCGTGGAGGTTCCCATTCACAGGTGGGGTCGCATAGTTCTGACCCTACCATTCACTAAAGGACACAGTTGTCTCTCACAAGGTATTCGCTCGCTCTGTGTCCCTCATGGTTCTAATAGCGCACTAAGGTGTCGAGGCGAGGCCCAATGGTGATTTTTCTTCACAGTCATGCGACCCATTGGCGTCCTCTCTGAGCCGAAGATGTGGTGACGGAGCAAGAAACCCTCACGTCTTGATCATCACGTTACCGGGTAGCGCCATGCATGGCACAAGGTCTATCCGAAAGCTGCTGGACCGGACCGCCATTCGGCATAGCGAAGCATTTGTGGGGTCCTAGCCGATGGACTATATACCATGTACATGGCGCCCACAAGAAAACCCTCAACTTCCTTACGCTCTGCACTACCGGCAAAAGATAGGTTCCCGGGGGTTCTTGCCCTATTCCATAGCTGCCGCCGACCTGCGTCAAGGGACAAAGACTGAGAGAATTTTGTCCTCGGGATCAGATCATCTGCACCTCCTCCGTCATCACGCCTGCAAGACAATGGCGCCCAAACGTCCAGATATCGGCCTCAACCACTATATCTGATAATTGAAGGACTGCAGACATATGTACACCCGTCATACGCGGATGCCTCCTTCAAGCGGCGCGTTGGATGTTAAGCGCCGGCCGGCCGCGGAAGCGACTTCATCTGCCGGGTTGCCGTTGCAATGCATTTCGACCCTGGGAGACCCTAGGGGTCGATCTGAAGTTCCCGTAAGCGGTAAGAAAAGTAAATTCGGAAAAAAGTAATGAAAAATGTAAATCTTTTACCAGTTTTCACATCACATGACTTTTTGTTGGCCACTTATATTGCTGACCAAATGACAGCTTAAAGATGGCGCTAAGAAGGCATCATAATGTGAACAGAGAGCTGACGACGGCGAGGGTATGAGGTAGGTAGGTCAATGTGTAGAATTATGGCTGATCAACTGCAGTGGCGTATGGTATAGACTAGAGTTTGGGCGAGTGCACGGACTCGTGCACGAATCATTTCCGGAATTTCGGTAAGGAAAAGTGTAAGGAAATGAAAGAATTCTAACTTGCGGAAAATTTCGACCCCTAGAGGACCCCAACCAAAGATCATCTTGCCTTCCCCAGCAGCGAAAACAGCAGGCCTCTTCCCTACCTTCCTTTCCCTCTACTGCGTACCGACACCACCGTCCTGGGTTCGCTGCAGAACCTTTTTGCTCTAGAGGTACCAACTGCAACTACCAAGCCGTTGCAGCGGTCCTCCATCCCAGGGTGCTGTTGGTCCTTGCTCTTGGGGCTGTTCGGAGTGCATATGGAATGCATGGAGAGGGGGTGGAAGTGAAGGGAAAGGTGACCGCAGATCTTTTAAGGCCAGTCTGTTCATAACTCTAAACTGTTTACATTACCCCTATCCCGTCCCCGTCTGCCCTGCCCTGTCCTGCCAGCACACATACTACAACCTCATTACATGTATGTACGAACGCATGCATGCACTCTAGATTCCGAGCCACTCACTCATTCCCTACCACCTACCATTTCCACACCACACTTGACGATATCCCTACCGTATCTGGGCACGATACTGTCCAAGTAGGGAACTTTGGAGACTAGGTGGCAACATAGACAATACTACCTGGTATACAGCCTCGTTGGAACAAGCCATACTCGACGAAGCAACAGTGACTAGGTCTGGATTTCAGGCCAACGGAGACGAGCTGTAGCGCCAGCGCACTAATAGCCGCAGTTTGGTTCGCTTGATGAGTTTTGAATCGTGCGATATCAAGCTTGTGTTTACGTACCTGTCCGCTTGCCCCTTTTACCCCTAAGCAAATCTGTAATGCGGCTGGAACTGGGAAGTGGTGTCACAGTTACTATCATCACCACACACACACACACACCACCCCCCCCCTTTATACATGCATGCACGACATACGGTAGGGGGGTGGCACACACACACACACACACACACATACACATTACACGCCGCCCCTTTTTTCGGCAGTCAAGTCTTCTCTCTGTACATCATAGATATAGGTACCAGCGTTTCTGTTGCTTACCAACTACCAACAAAAGGAGTTAGAGAGAGGTCCAAGTTGAGCAAGCTCGTGACAAGCCAACAGTATCCCAGAGCCCAAGTCGGGTACATTCCACTCACATTCCGTGCGGTTATCGACATTGATACTTCTAGCGGGAACGAGAACACCGATTTCTACGTGAGGAAATGGGAAGATGAGACATGGACACTGGGGTGATACTCGCTTGCTGAGTGCCCTGGGAGTTTGGGAAGTTGGGGGTGGAGTTCTGTAGTCTGGATCATGATCAACCAATTTGCTACAATACGAGAGCTGGTTGAGATGAGATGGGACGTCAGATCTGACCATTGGAAGCTGGAGAAGATTGCAGCTTGACAGTCATTTTCTTTAGCTCTGGCTATTGGTACAAGGATAGTGGTAGACAGAGGGTTGCAGTGTCAGTCAGTGAGTGTCATTGATAATTTGAGAATGACTGATGACTTGTTGATGAACCCAAGTGGCTGAGTGGTTAATACGCCAATCACGTACAGAGAAGTTTGACTTGATCGACAAACCCGTAATTTTCTTCCTTCTTTGCTTTGCGTTGAGGGGTCTTTGGTGGTCTGACCTGTAAGCCAGTTTTATCATCGTATAGACAATTTCAATATCACTCTCAAACGGTCATTGAACATCGAAAACAACATCTTGGTATGAGGTTGTCATTTGAGCACATCCGGTAGCGACTGTTTTGCAGAAGTTGGGAAATTGCTCAGACTCGCTGTTCTGCCTATCGGTTTGTTTCTGGCGAACTTTAGTCACTCAGGAGAACCACGAAGGTAACCTGATAGAGACAGGAAAAGTGTTGTATTAGCCAAGTACGCACAGTCTTGTTTGTACAATAGCGTCCATCTCATTACCCTTGGAAAACGTATAGAGAACGGGCATGGGAAATGAGTTGAAACAGAAAAGGAAAAGGGTAACGGAAAGCTGTCACTTGTCTTCATAGAGTCAGCCCTTGTCACCATTCCAGGATTTTCTATGACATCTCGCTCTCCCCCTCCTCTACCCCCCCTCCCAATGATCAACATAAGCCTGAAAGTGATCTTTTGGGCCTGGCTGTAGCCAACACCAGAAAACCAGTCTTATACAGGGTAATCTCAACCTTTTTAAAAAAAAGTAGGTATATACGTGATTTCATTACTGTCGTGATCTTGGCTCTCTAGATCTAATCCTAGCCAATATCCTATATAGCAGCCTTTTTGATCCCTTCATTCATCTCGGACCCTTCCCCTCCTTTTTAACACTTTCACCAGCCTCGGGTCTCTTCACATTGTCCACAACTTGTGTCAATGGACAACCGCGCGTATAGTAGTGGAAGAAGCAATTTGGCTTCCCGTTCGGCACTTAAAGACCGAGTAAGCTCCTTCTATCGACCCCTTGGTTTATACTTACCATGCCGTGCGCCATAGCAAGCGATCGAGCCCACATGAAAGTCTGCGTACGGCTCGAAGGTGCGTTGTCGATCAGGTATCGGTCAGTGTACGTGCGTTACCCGGGCCACCGTCCGTATTGTGAGTGTCTCGTCTCGTAAAAACCACAGCACATCTTTAAGAATCCTCTCCACGAAAATTCTTTATCGCTTGACGATGGTGACTGTTTTCATCCATTAGTCACAACCCTTCCAACAGAAAAACATCCAAAGACATACCGATATCTTCATCAGCCAATTCGTGGCTGAGACCAACACGCTGAGGTTGATGCTTGACGGACTTGCCGTAAACAATAGCAACCTTGAACTGATCCACGATAGTTTTGTGAATAGTGTTACACTGCGGTTCATCAGCTGTTAGCTCGCCTCATTCACACCCCCAAACGTTTCTTTCGCTCAATCAGGTGCATCAAAACAAAGGAAAACGAGAAAAAAAAAAAAAAAAAAGAGAAAAAACTTACGAAATCCTCAACCGTGCACCTATTGCTCCTCAACACAACGGGAGCCGAATAATCCGGCATCTTGCCCTTCGGCTTGGTATACACGCGCACGAGCTTAAGCTTCTCCCACATGGCCTCCATCAACTCGTCAATGTTCCAGCCGTGCTCAGAACTGATGGGGACCGAGTTGGGAATACGGTACAGCAAGTCGAGCTCCTCGATACTGATGGCGTCGATCTTGTTGAGGACGTAGATAACAGGGATGTAGGAGCGCGACTTGGCCTCGAGCACGTCGATCAAATCATCAATAGTGGCGTCGCAGCGGATGGCGATGTCGGCCGACGAGATCTTGTACTCGCTCATGACGGCGCGGATTTCGTCGTTGTCGATGTGTGTGAGGGGCACCGTGCTGGTGATGTTCAGGCCGCCCTTGTCCTTCTTCTTGAACGTGATGTTGGGCGGCTCCTTGTTGATGCGGATGCCGAAGCCCTCCAGCTCGGCCTCGATGACGCGCTTGTCCGTCAGCGGCTTGTTAACGTCCAGCACGATGAAGATAAGATGGCACGTCTTGGCGACGGCGATAACCTGACGACCACGACCACGGCCGTCCTTGGCGCCCTCAATAATACCAGGCAAATCGATGATTTGTAGTGGGGCACCTATATGTATGCAACATGTCAGTTCAATCTGGACCTTGTGACGCTCCGGAGGATGAGAAGAAGAAGAAAGAGGGCTGCCCACCGTTGTAGGTAACCTGACCCGGCACACTCGTAAGCGTGGTGAACTCGTACGCGGCCGCCTCAGAGTGCTGGCCCGTCAGTCTGCTCATCAGCGTACTCTTTCCGACCGAGGGGAAACCAATGAAACCAATCGAGGCCACACCGGTTCTGGCGACGTCGAAACCAGCACCACCGCCGCCACCGCCGCCGCCCGAGGGCGTGAGCAGCTCACGCTTGAGCTTGGCGAGCTTTGCCTTCAGCTGTCCGATATGGTAGGATGTCGCCTTGTTCTTTTGAGTTCGGGCCATCTATCGAAGGGGGAAAGAAACATAGCGTTAGCCGAGGTCCGTCCTTGTTGCGTCGGTTCGTTCATCTTCGAGGGGGGAATCCGTTGGTAGTATCTCATCGTCCAGGTCGCGCTCCTCCAGCTCCAGTGCCAGGGCCTGAACAGCCTCTGTGTATGCCTGCATCTGTGTCGCCGGAGCCAGCGCATCTTGGTCTCTGACCTGTCCAACTTCTTGTCCTGTCTCGGGGGTGCCGTATCGTATCGGGGCTCGGAGGGTTCGAAAATCGAGGGCTATCGGGGACAGTTAAAACTCACTTCGGCCTCGATCTCTTTGATCTGTCATGGTGCGGCGGTCGCATCAGTTCCTTGTTCCAACATGTTCTCTGATGGGGAATGCGGAAGGGCGATATACGTACCTTGTCCACCGTGGTCGACATGATTGCTAGCTTTCACACGATGGCGTATCTGTATTATGGATTGGTGACTATAATTTCTCAGCCGTGGCAGGACAGAGCGTGGTTCAGTGTTTTCCAACCTGGAAGTTGATGATGATCTTGATTGTTTCTTGGGAATTTTGAAGGTGGGGCAAATTTCATAGTTTCAGCGCCGCGCCGATGCGGTTAAAATCGCCGCAGCGCGGGCGGACCTGCGGGCAGTGCACACACACACACACAGGCCCACGGAAGCTCCAAGTTCCTTTCGGTTCCTCAACACCCCTGGGCGGCCGGGCTTCCACTTGGCCTTGGCGCCGGCGTTCCATTGTTCCTACTCCCCCAAAGCTCCGTACCTGATCATCTACGGTACTGTACACATACCTACCATCGGGCTGACCCTCCATCACGCCGTCCTTTTCTCGACGGGACGGGAGAATTCTTCGCTCGGGGCTGTTTCCACTTCATGCGGTGTGGCAAAGAATTTCCGTATAGTTCACCTTTCGCTCGCATGGTGGTTGGTTCCGGTTACTCTTCTCTTATTTGATACACAACACGATACCACAGTCATCGATACTCGCACTTTCACCCGTCTGTTTTCCTTTCATCGTTAAATATCGTTAAGTTATACTAATGGAAACCAACAAACAAAACACGAACCAAACCAACAGCTATTCGCCACAACTCCATCCCATCCATACCACCGTTCATTCCAAGTTCGATGCTTTGTGAATTCGATGCCCCCTTCAGTCCGAATTCGTCATGATGATGATGATAATGATGATGCCCGCCTGGTCTACTTATCGACTAACGTCCGCATTTACGGTTTTCAAAACCTGACAAAGGCTATATGACTGTTTGTACAAGATAGCACGATAATACCGTATCATGAACGCTAAAGGTACCTGCAAAAGTTGGGTCGACATGACATGACCCCCGACAACCCATCGCTTCATCCTTTTCCACACAACTAACCCATATGATCTGCTTGACATTGACCGCTGGACTCCTCCCCATGACCTGTCCCGTTGGTTAACCTCGCTCAATACACAAACCAGCCAAGCTCTCAGTTTTGAGCGTATCGCGTTCCTAGTTGATTTCATCCCTGACAACCCAGTACATCTTGACATCGTAATAACCTTTGACACACATCGTAACCCATCAATCCTCTTCGTCGCCGCTAAGCATTTCATGATGGCCGTTAAGCAGCGGACGAGCTTGCGCGGGTCCAGTCTCCGATGATGGCGATATTGGGTGATGCCCATGCGCGTGCCCGTTGACAGTCCTAGCCCTTGGCGATGTGGTTCCATTCACGCGGTTTGAAGACGAGGTCGTGCTTATTGGCGATGCTGACCGGTGACCATTGGACAAGACGTGCGAGCCTTGGGCCTCGCCCAACAAATGCCCAAGCCCTTGCTTTCTGCAGAGTTCGGCGTACTCTGGGTCATCTGACCTCACGGGTGCTAGGCCGCGGCGGGGAACCCTCTCTTCCTCGAAAGGCATCTTGCTGACCATACCGACCTTCGGCCTCTCCTCCCAGATGAACTGGCCGTTGACAAAGTATTTGCTGCCGGGTGCAAAGCCATGATTTCGGCCCGCATCCGGGTCCTTCTTCCACTTTTCCAAGGGTCGGAAGTCTCTGAAGTATGTTTCATTTTCCGGAAGCTCGCGATAGGCCATCACAAGCCGAATGTCCCGCAGGTGAGGCATCGTAGGGATGATACGCAAAAAGTCAGAGGCCTCGTGAGAAATGTTAGTTGATACGCCATATCGTATGAAGCGTGGAAATCTGACGGACGCATACCTTGACAAAGAACATTTCCAAAGCAGCGAATTTCTCCCAGGCAGCACTTCGGAGCTTTTGCGTCACACGGTAGACGATGCTATCCGTGTCGTCGGTACCGTAGTATCCAGGGAGCTCTTTGCCGAGGTCGTAAAGATTCGGAGATGTCAGCGCATAGCGATCCGACTCAAGCTGCCAAAGCACGCGCTTGGCAATCTTTGATACCGGTATCCTTGTCCATGAGTTGTCTACACCCAAAAGTCAGCATTTGGGGGCAATGTTCAATCCAGTACGGTGAAAACTGACATTTTGAGAGCCGCAGGTCCTTCTCTCCCAACAGCAGCGCAATCTGCGTGTTGAGCAACCACTGCTCTCTACCTTCTGGCGTCCCAGTTGCCTCTGGATCGATGCAGTCGTAACGAACCCCCTGCATGATGCTAAACTTTTCAGCAATCTGTGGAATCCTGGGATTCGCTGCGCCTTCCAGCCACCGAAGCGCAGGAGGTAGATTGGCGATGCGAATGACTTCCTGCTCGTGGCGAATTCTTCGCTCTTCCGCCTCCTGAGCAGCAACACGCTTGCGCTCCGCCTCTTCCCGCAACGCCTTCTCCCTACGTTCCTTTTCCTGGCGCTCCTCTTCCTCGCGCTTACGACGTTCTTCCTCGCGCTTACGGCGTGCTTCATCAGCCGCTTCCCGTTCAAGCCTTTCTCTCCGGACCTTCTCTTCATGCTCCAGTCTTTTCCTTTCCTCCTCCTCTTGTTCCCTTCGTTTCCTCTCCGCAGCCTCTTTCTTCTTCTGCTCCTCTTCCTCTTCCCTCCTCTTCCGCTCACGTTCTCTCTCACGCTCTCGTTCGCGTTCGCGTGCCTCCTCCTCTTCACGCTGTTTCCGTTCCTCCTCCTCCTCTCTTCGTTTCCGATCTTCTTCTGCTTGTCGCTGTTTTCGCAGTTCTTCCAGGCGTTGCCTCTCCTCTTGAGCAGCACGTCTGGACTCGTCCTCGAAGCGTTTCCGCTCGCGCTCTTCATCCTTGCGCTTTCTTTCCTCCTCTTTCCTCTTCAATTCGCGAGCTTCTGACTCCATCTCAGCTTGCTTCTTTCTTATTTCCTGGAGTTTCCGCTTTTCAAGCATATGCCGTGTTAATTCTTCTTGGGCGGCATCATCCGTGTCTCCCATTTCCACCTCCCCGTCTTCGGATTTGACATGGATGCTGGGTTCGGGGATGGTGGGCTTGCCGGAGTCAAAACGTACGTGCTCTGAGGTGGATTCTGACTTCCGGGGCTTTGAGGTTGATCTCCTGTCTTCGTCATCTCTGCTGCGAGATCTAACTCTGCCGTCAGGTGGTGCAGCAAGACTGGATTCTCTGGACACAGAAGGCTTTAGGTGACGATCCTCGGCTGAGTTAGGCTTAAGACGCCTGTCCTTGCCTTCAACGTCCAACCGCCTCTTCTTAAGGGGGACTTCTGAGGGATCCTTCTCTGTAGACCCAGGGTGTGGCGGGGTTGCACTGGCCCGGTGTCGCTTGCCGGAACTTTCACCAGAAACAGATGATCGATCACGGGACTCGTCCCTTCTGATAGCCTTCGTCCGGTCATGATACTTCTCCATCATCTGAGGTTTTTCACACTCATCTCGTGGACTAGACGGCTGATCTCTAAACGAAGAGCCATTTGATGTGACAGAGGCGCGACGCTGCTTCTCACGCTCACCCTTGAGCTCCCTGCCAGAAATCAGCTTCCGGCGCGGCTTTGGAGTTTCTCCCTCGGATGATGCAGCGGCGACATCATGATCTGCACGTTTGGCTTTGGCAGTGACTCTTCCTGCGGGTGATGCTTCGCGATCGGAAATGGCAATGGTTGGAATCTTGTCGTCTTTCTTGGGCCGGCCAGGGCCGCGCTTGGGCGATGTCTGATCTTCCTGGTGAGTGGCAACGGAATCCGAACGCCTCTTCTCCCGAGGACTAGCTGGGACTTTCGAGGGTCCCGTTTTCTTTCCTTCTTTAGCAGGGCTTGAAGCTTTTCTCCGATGGGACTTGGACGCATCTTCCTTGATCTCGGTTCGTGTGCGCCTAGGCTCGCGGTCCGTCTCCCGGGAATTGGACAGTCTTTGGCTCTTAGCATTGGAACCGGGTTTCTTTTTATATTCGTCGAATGCTTCCTTCAGCATATGTTCCTCTTGCATCCAGTTGGGACCTCGTCTTTTGCGTGCAATCTCATAGTAGGTCTCCCCCTTGTACTTCTTGGTGGGATCGAAATTGGCTTGGTCCAGGAGCAGCCGGATGACCTTGATGTTTTCTTGACCTATAGCGGCGAGAATGGGTGTCGAATATTCGTTGGTCGAAATGGGTTGTGGATCAGGGTTTGCACCGCCTATAGCCAACAACAACTGCATTACCAGATCGTGACCACCACGAGCTGCAGCCACCATGGACTCAGGGTCGTCGAACTGGTCCCTAACCTGAAGAATCCGTAGGACTGTCTCCTCGTCTCCTTTGGCAGCGGCTGCACGAAGCGTCTTGTCATCCATGGGCATGTAAAGTAGATGATTGCTGGTCTTGGTAGCGCGGACGGTACCGGCACGTCGTCCACTAGACGGGTTGATGGAGGCGGAGGCAGGTGACTGCCGAGGACTATCCGGACCATGGGATGAGCGTGTATCCGTTGCGTGATCGAGATGGTGGTCTTCAGAGGTCGGCCGACGCTCACCCATCCTCTGCTTTGCTTCGTTGATGGCGCGTTTGATATCGTCGGCATTGTCGTGGTCTTCGTTGACCCGATCGATAGGCTCCTCGCCATATGCGTTGGCCTTGCGCGGGTTCACTCCGGCATCAAGCAGGATCTTGACGACCTCATAGTGGCCATTCTCCACTGCATCTATCAGCGGCGTGTCCTTTTCATTGTTGAGGCAATCAAGGTTACAGCCGGCTTCGACAAGGAGTTTCACAATATCGTCAAAACCGTTAATTGCAGCGATCTGGAGGGGAGTGTTGCCCGCATAGTCGGCAACGTCGATGTCCTCGGGGCGTTCCTGCAGCCTTTGCTTAGCGACGTTGTATTCGCCCTTGGCACAGGCTCGGGCAAGGAAGGTCTGGCCGTGGGCGTCTAGGTGCTTCTTGTGCGGCGCCATTCTGCCAGCGGGCGAGTGTGTGGATTCGGCGGCGGCCGGGGTAGCGAGACTGCGCAGTTTGGAGCTGCGCGGATGAGGGCTCCCGCGTTCCGAGG